GGGGGGGGGGGGGGGAGTAATTTAAAACAGTTTAAAATAAGGCTGCAACATAACAAAACCTGAAAAAAATGAATACTTCTGCAAGGCACTGTATATACTGGAACATGATATGCTTTATGGTATCATATTGACCGAATATGAATGACACACACAGACACACACAGTACCTGTTCTGTGATAGCTAATTTATAACCACAAGCTTTCCAGGTTTGTAAAGTTTTCATAGATTAACCACGTCTTTCTTATTAAACCAAAAGAAGGAATCGGACTGGTTGCTCTTTTCCTTGCAGTTCGTTTCAATGGAGACTGAGGCTAGGAATACCAGGAATATTCTGGGTTCAGTTCAAGTTCAAGTCATTTAGTGAATGAAAAAATCATGCTTTGGACCAAACAAATGTAAGAGATATTGAATTATTGTTACTTAAAATTACAATTTAGCCACAATAAGAGCCAATTCATAATGACAAACCAGCTAAACTATCAGGCCCACTCAAAGCTGCTGCTGCTGCAATTTGGTGTGATTGGTAAATATATTCCTGACCTTCTAGGATACTGTTGTTGTGCTGAACTCATTGGCCTAAACAGCAGGCCTGAAAGCAGTACAACTTCCTGTGTGCCGGGAGAACGGGGCGGCCAAAGCCATCGAGTGGTGAGAATAACAGGAAAAGAATGAAGTAAACTTCTTAAGACTGGGCTTTCCAGCACCGTGACCCCAGACCGTCTGGCCTGAGACTCAGGTTCACACTTTGATACGAACACAAGGCCAATTTCTGTTCTTTTCAAGACCTCATTGTTTAACTCTCAGGACAGAGGTGGTTCGTAACCCTTAAAATATGTTCAGTAACTGGCTACATTATTTGTTATTATTGGCTAAGAGCCGGCAATTATGCTGTAGCAGTCATAATAAACATTTTATGGCCAACAATTGTAATTTATCAGAAACTGGAAAACTGTCAAGTCAGTTGATATGGTGATACAAGACGCTGAGATTATCAGCTCTCATGCTCTCAGCCTCTGTAAACAACATGCAACAAGCACATTTGCATTTGTTCCAAGTATTTCCACCTACTTTCCATTCAGATCTGGCAAAATCATTTCTCAACAGATCATAGTCTAAGAAAAGCTTAAGGTACCCTTGTGAAAAAGAAGCAGACTTCAGCATATTTTTAAAAAGAGCACTTATTATGGAAATAAAATACTTTAAATGAATCTACTTAAGTGTGAACTGAATGCAATGCTTTCAGAAATGTATTTATTTAAATTTATATTAAATGAAAACAGGTTAACCTAAGAGTGTTTTTTTTACCCACTTAAGTAGGACTTAAGTACATCTTTAATTTCATAATTATTCTATTGTCTTTGAAATACGATTAAAGTGTACTGCCTAATGTATGGAAGCCTGTTTCTGCCACTGAATAAAAAAGTTAATTGTGACTTTTTATCTCACAATTCTGATTTTTTTCTCAGTATTGTGAGATATAAACTCACAACTGTGAGTAATAAAGTCCAATTCTGGGGAAAAAAATGACTATTTTCTTACAATTGCAAGTTTAGCTATATTTCACAATTCTGACTTTATAACTCTCAAATGCATGTTATAAAGTCACAATTGCAAGTTTATATCTTGCAACTGTGACTTTATTTCTCAGAATTGTGGCTATTTCTCACAATTACAAGTTTAAATCTCACAATTCTGACTTGTTTCTCACAACTGCGAGTTTCTCAGAATTGCGAGAAAAAAAAAAGTCTGATACCTTGTTTTAATTTTTATTCAGTGGCAGAAACGAGCTTCCATACAAATGTACTGACAAACATTCAAGGTAAACTAAAATATACTCATAAAGTCATTTCTATTGAAACTTGTATGTCATGTTAATGATGAAGTTGCAATTTTTTAGTACATTTAAAATACATTAACTTTAAATGTAATATCAAATAGCAGTTAAAATGAATATCAAGAACTTTACATGTGATCTAGTAGTCAACACATCAAAATAAATGTATAAATGAGAAAATATTATGAAAATGTAATGGTTTAAGTGTACTTTAAAGAAAAAACATGAAATGCATGTTTTAAAAGTGTACTTAAGTGTGTTAAGAAACATGAAAGTGAACTCTCTTTAAGTACACTTAAGTTTAATTTCATTAATATTATATTATCTGCAAGTACAGTATAGATTTTTTTTAAATGTGAAGTATACTACAAGTGCCCATTTAATAAAAATGAAGACCAAAGTTTACACTTTAGTTTACACATTATTTTACACAAAAAAACTGTCATTTACTTATTACTTATTTACTTATACTTTACTTGTATATATTGGTCATCCTATAATTGTATTGTCCATGTGAGAAATATGAGGGAAACATGAGAGGATTGTGTTATCAAATGCATCATTTTTTTAAGGCTGAATCTTTTTAATAAATTTGTTTAAGTCGATTTGTTTAAGACTTGGAATGTTTCACTTTTTCTTAACTCCCTAAACTCGACTCAATGATGCAAATTTGAGTTTGTTCATCAAACAAAGCTTATCGTATGACTTTAGAAAGCTATGAAAATACTGCACCTCATATGGACCAACATTATGATGCTTCTGAAGTGCTTTTGTGTCCTTTTTGAAGCTTTTTGACTGTATCTGTATATTGCTTATGTGTATAGCCTAAATATATACAATGCAGTACTTATTTAGTCATATAAACAACATTTTAAACAAATTTCTAAAGCGTTTATTACAGACTTAATGCATTTTATTTATTTTGTTCTTAATTTTGTTGCATCAGCACTAATAAAAGCTTCTTGTCAATGAGAAAAGAGAGAAATATAGAGAGAAATCCTAAAATATGTCATATTACAATTCTGACTTCGTACAGTAAATAGAAACTTCTCAGGAAGATTGTCAGACACACAAAATGAGGATAGTCTCGACGCAAATCAGCCAATAAAGATCAAATCTGGAGACAATTTCAAACCAAGCGTAACTGGTTCTTCACAGCTGATCCAGAATCCTGAATCTGGTGTTTGAATTATATTTTATATTAAGATATTGCAGACCAGCAAATGGTTTTATTTTCAGCACTTTTATTTCATAACAGTGAACCCAGAATGTACATTAGCTATTTAGACACTTAAAGCACAGTTCAAATGTATAAATATGGGATTCATTACAACAATATATAAATGCAGGCATCTCGAAACAAATGCTGCACAGGCTTTTCTCAGAACTAACTTTTTGACACTTTTTTGTTTGTTGATTGGTTTTAATAAGCTGGTGTTTTAGTGGGTGTATGAAGTCAGTCCTCCTCATATTCACACAGGTGTCCGAGCAAAATAACTACGGGTTCATCATATTAACTACACTCTTAGAGGGAAAAAAAAGTTTAAAATCTGTCACTGGAGTGGTACTGTTTTACTGATATGCACACACTCTAAAAAATGCTGGGTTGTTTCAACCCAACTTTGGGTCAAATATGGACTAACCCAACCGTTGGGTTCAATTTTTACCTTAAATTTTTAACCCAACGGTTGGGTTAGTCCATATTTGACCCAAAGTTGGGTTGAAACAACCCAGCATTTTTTAGAGTGCACTTTATGTGCTCTCTAAAAAATGCTGGGTTAAAAAGGGACAAACCCAGCTATTGGGTTGTTTTGACCCAGCGGTTGGGTTCAAAACAACCCAACCGCTGGGTCAAAACAACCCAATAGCTGGGTTTGTCCCTTTTTAACCCAGCGCTGGGTTATATTTAACCCAGCATTTTTAGAGTGTATTAATATGTACATATAAGATACTAATATGCATCTTTTAGGGGGAAAGAAAGAAGGTACAAAAGTGTACCGCAGCTGTGACATCTTTTGCAAGCTACCTTTTTATGAGTATGACATGATCCACTAACAGCTGATAAGTGTCCAAATAATATTAATATTGAACACTAAATGTGTTTGTCCTTAAAAACCTTTTGGTGACATTTCAACTTTAATTTATGAAACGCAATTATATTTATACTTTTTATTGCCTGTTTTCGGGCCACTCTACATAACCAATGAATCAGATAAATATATAAATGAATCATATTTTGCAATACCATCCAAAATATCAAACATGTATTTGGATTGCCCTGGAATAGCAACTCTTTGAGCGGAAACCAACAAAATTCCGTCCGACTTTAATATAAAGGTAGCCTACTGTTTTATCGTATACATTGACCAAACAAACTTGTCATTAAAATAAATGCCACAAATGTTGAACAGTTAACAAGTGCTCGCGTGAACTTGTGTTTTATCTCAACAATCAGACATTATACTAATATATATTTAGGCTATGCAAAATAAAGTACTTCTCTTACCTGAAGAATGACACAGATCAGAAGCGCTGTGCCTTTACAGACGGTTTTGATAGAAAGACATCCCATCTTCTTTCATGGATCGTATATTCCCCAGCAGCCGATCTTCAAAACATCTTCAGATAAGTTTCCCAGCGACTTTTCTGAACGATGAACTTCTGTGTAAACTCTTGAACTGCACCGAGCACTGATGTGAGAGGTGTGAACTCTCGCAGAAGGTGGAGCTGACGGACTGCTGTCACCAGATTAATGCTGCTGTTAATGTGAGCAGTGTTAATGGTCCTCCTCTGCTGAACGGAAACTCGTCGTTTCACTACATCGCCAGAAATAATGACTGCATTCCGCCCCCAGGAAGTTATCATGTCCACTATTTCAAACAGGCCAGAGCCCAAACTTATGAGAGTGTGGGAAACAGTTGTGGTAATATCCAATGAGACCATGCAAAATGTACAATACTTTACGTTTTACTTCCTTGTAATATTAGTGCAAGATATAGCCTAACAGAAATTGTTATTTACATTGATGAATGGACGATATAGGCTATATAATGCAGGCCTTACAAAACTTTACTATAACTGTTATGTTTAACATTCTAGGGGACTGAAACTTCCTTTAATCTGCCCCTGCACTAAACACTTCTGCTTTCTTCACAGCAGGCCATTCTGATGAAGATTTGCATAACTCCCACACAAAGCACACACACATATATATATATATATATACACATTCCCGCGGGAAGTAGGCGTGCTGAGGGTGCTGCAGCACCCCTTGGAGTGTAGCCCACGAAAAAATGGGGGTGCTGGGGGTGCGGTGTTAAAAATAAATGAATGAACAATATGTAATACAAAATAAATAATATTAACTTTATGAATTAGTATATTCATTCAAATTCATTGAAAAAAAGTAGCCTAAGCCTACAATGACAAGAAGCAACGGTTAAATATGAGTTAAGTTGAATCAAATTGACTGTGAAAGTCGTTTCAGCTGATTAAACTGACTTAAAAAATCATTTGTTGCCATGGTTTTTGGATTATATTATAACCTGTAACATGTCTCTGCCGTTCCCAAATTAGAATCAACAACAATTTCTACAGAGAGCAGAGAAAGAGCGAGAGCGTCTACCTCAGCGGCAGCTAATCTCGCATTCTCACATCTGTAGCGCTTATTCTTGAAACACAATTAATTCTTAAGGTTGATTCAATATTACTCTTAATGAAAAACACACACAACATCAACAATGCTACAATGACAAAGTCGCTTATATTAAACATAAAACTTTTATGAACAGATAAGAACAAATAAGATCTATAAGAAATAAGGTAAGAAATAAGACGCGTAGCGGGCAGTTTGGGGGCCCACCGAGCTGGGGGCAACGAGGGAACGAATAGAGCCCTGCACGGGCCCGGCCTTTGTCAGAGTCCGACTGGATGCCTTGTCTTTTCTCTCTCTCTCTCTCTCTTCGCCATTACACAGCTATTAAAAATAGTTCAGTTTTGGTTTTTAATGGCAAAGTGGTCATATTTCTTTTTGTTTCTTTATTAAGTTAATTTAGAAATATGTTTGGAACATTTTATGTTTGTTAAATTCAAGTTTTTGTTGTTTAAAGGAACGACCAAGCGGCAGCGGCAGACAGTGAGTTGAGCATTATGTTTGATCAATTTAGACTTCTCAAACCAACATGACTTGCCTAAAATAAACAGGCATAAAACGCTTCATGCATTTCACAGTATTAATTTAAACATTTAACCAAGATAAATGAGCGCTGTTAGGCGCAAATCCAATCGTTTGTGAGAGTGGAAGCTAAAGCCCGCTGCAGGACACGGAGGCGCCAGCGCGATCACTTGCATTTATTTTAAGAACAGCGAAAACTTAAAAATACACTGTCATTTCTGCTCATAAAGGTACTAGTATACATCATTCGGAACTGCAAAGGGTCTACTTGTATTTGTGTGTACTC